GTTTTATGTATTATTACTCCTACTGGGACCCATGGGAGATCAGTTCTGATAAAAGGACTGAATGGGCCGCCCAGTATAAAGAAAATACATAAATATGCAGATATGCACTAGGAGCTGCTAGCTTTGTTTATAAATGTGTATGTACCGTACTTGGCCAATCAGATGACAGATATAGGCCCAAAGAATCAAACATCAAACAGCAACCTACTGGAAGGCCTGCGCTTATAATCACAGAAAAAAAAGGTTCGACACACAAACTAAACCTGCATGTACATGTGTAGTACACGTAGCTGATTCATGTTGCATCTGCAGTGTTGTCCAATCTTCTCAAGTCCATCCCAAGTCATCCAATACCAACTCCCAAGGCATTGAAGACACAATCCCCCCCCCCAGTATTTTCCTTGCCCCCCCCCCCCCCCCCCCCCCCCCCAGTTTTCTTTTAGTTTGATTTTAGAGTCTGGCATCGCCACTGAAGTTTGGTCACAATTGTGACCCGATTTGTGATGGACTTGTGATGGAATATCTTCTCAAGTCCATCACAAGTCATCCAATACCAACTCCCAAGGCATTGAAGACACAATTCCCCCCCCCCCCCCCCCCACCAGTATTTTCCTTGCCCCCCCCCCCCCCCCAACCCAGTTTTCTTTTAGTTTGATTTTAGAGTCTGGCGCCGCCACTGAAGTTTGGTCACAATTGTGACCCGACTTGTGATAGACTTGGGATGGAGTCAACTACAAAAGTGTAAAAGAAGGAATCTTCACAGCAACCAGGGGATTACACGGACAAAAATCTCCAAAAATATCCGGTTTCAACACAGAGATTTCGGGAAGTCTATTCACACTAGCAGCAATCCAACACTAGCATTAATCCAACATGGGTAAAATCCAAGCCAGGTCGGGTCCAGGATTGAGAGGCTGTACCCAGTTCAAAAAAAAGACAAATCTAGGGCATACTGTTAATTAACACACTGATTTAATTGTGTCCTGGGTGAACAACGCCCGAGGACCAACACACAAAGGGAGAAAATCAGATCCTTCTAGTCCTCGGAAGCGGCCTTATACAAGTATTCAAATAAACTGTGATAACTTTTGTTATTGTTCTTCCCCTTTTACTTGTGACTGGACTTACTTGTGACGAACTAGTGATGGATTCAATGGCACAACTGGTCAGACAAAATGTTAGCAACATGGATTCCGTTTTGCTAGTCCTCATGCAGTACATACACGCTGCACCAAAATTAGTCTTGGTCCAAGACTGGATTTGGTTTATGTTCGTTTACGTACCGGCTGCCTGGCGCGCTCTGCAGCCGAACGACATCAACAGTAGAGGGCGCTATCGGCGATTTGGTTTGTCTTGTTGATAGCGCCCTCAACCATTGATGTCGTTCCGCTGCGTAGCATGCTAGGCGGGTAGCTTGCTAGGGACCACCTGTACGTAAACGAACATTATCCAAATCCAGTGTTAGACCAAGACTACACCAAAATTGGTTCACAGCTACCGTAGCTAATTAGACAACAGAAAAAGGAAAAACTGAGATGAAAAACAGCGGGGTCCGCTCATAAGTCCAACGCCTCATAGGTCCGACGCCTCATAAGTCCGACAAAATTGTATCCCCCAACCAAATAAAGGCCCATACATGTAAGTCCGACGCCTGATAGGTCCGACGCCTCATAAGTCCGACGCCTCATAGCTCCGACGCCTCATAGCTCCGACGCCTCGTAAGTCCGACAAATTAAACGCCTCGTTTTTCCGTTGTCGGACTTATGAGGCGTCGGACTTATGAGGCGTCGGACCTATGAGGCGGAATAAATTAATGTTATGCCTCATAAGTCCGACGCCTCATTAGTCCGAAATTTTGGACTTATGAGGCGTCGGACCTATGAGGCGTCGGACTTATGATACGGCCCCAAAACAGCAACCAATGTTATCCCAATAGCTACATGTAGTATAGACCACTCCTTGCCTTCACTATAGGTTGGGTGCCTCCGGTCTGTAACGGCTAAAGGTCCACACAGACTTGTGTACAGTACATGTTTTCCAATACAGTCCCAAACGGTGCAGGCAAAATGTCTAAATCCACTGAAAACCTTGCCTTGGAAACACAAGCTGTTATAACATTTTGATCACAGCAAAGACATGCACGAATGAAAGCGAACCAACTCCTTGCATCTAGCTACGGGTAGGATGTGACTTTGTGTTTATTTTTGTAAATGATTAGCTAAAATTTTAAGAACCGTTTAAATGTTTAGCTATTCACATGCTTACACATGCTTATTATGTTTGCAGACCAGTGTGATTGACATGATTAATCAACAATGGCAGTCATTGAAAAAGTAAAAACTGAACTAAATTGTACATAGGTGTGCCCCGAATGTAATATTGAAGTGCTGCAAAGGTTTTGTAAATTAAATAGGTTTGAAAACAACATCATTAATTATTTGCGCTATGTACATGTACGTTTAACTCAAAGAAAACTGTGTGAAAAGTCAACGTAGATCTTCTATGCCTTTTTATAATTCGGTTTTTGGAAATTTTTTAAACGGATTTCAAATTGTTTTCATTTAAACGTGTAAACGTCACATCCTTACTTGCATCTTAGAAAGATTTCATCCAAACAGAGATTCTCTTTTACTGTAATATCCTCTGGTCCATAGTTATCAAGCGAGTTTTGCCACTGCATAAACTGAAGTCAGAAATTCTGTTGATTCTTTTCCAAGATGTGGGTGGGAGGGGGGGGGGGGGGTTGTAGATGGAATCAAGCCAGAGGCAAGGGACATTTACAGCAGAATGAATGTCCCTTGAAAGCTGTCAGTAAAAAGAATGTGCCATCGGGTTCCTTCACTTTAGTTAAGATTTAAATACACTGTAGAATGTATGTTCCTAGCCAAAATGCCTGGGAAATGGCTTTAATAACTACCATGCACAGTACATGTATGTACATTGTACCTGTACAATAAGGATTAAAAGAAAATATTCCTTGATTGCTAAATTGTTCGACACAAAAAAACAAATTGCATTTAGGGTAACCCATGGAGGAATAAAAATGCATTCTTCCATAAGGCCCCCCCAAAAAAGTCTCCGGTTTCTGGTATGGAGCTTGTCCAAAAAGTGGTGCGGCGACGTGGCTTTTTTTTTTTTTTTACCCGACTTTTTTGCTTCAAATTTGCTTCAAATGTCGGCTGATGACTGCAAATGGTGCCCGACTAAACTTAGTGCAAATATATGGGAGTCCAGAGAGGCCACATAAAGCTTATTCTCGATCATAACCCCATCTAAAAACACGTTGAAATTGCGCAGCAGCAGAATTCCAGTCAAACCAGTAAGTTTGGCGGTTTTGAGACATCATCTTTCATTGAAAAAAAACCTTTTCATTTTGCCGACGCGCATGGCTACGGCGACGCGCGCGCATACCAGAAACCGGAGACTTTTTTTTTTTGGCCTAAGTTTTAAACCCGACCTGACTGATTTTTTTTGTGACCAAATACAACATGTAGGTTCATCTCAAACTTTTACTGCCACATTTGGATTTTCAAGGGGCCAAAAACTTTGTTGTGCAAAATCATATTGAAATTAGAGGATTCAGGACTGTTAGGGTTATTAAGAACCGGTATGTACATGATTTTACTTTGAAATAAAAAGTCTCCCCTGCGCAAGTTTGTTGTGTGTTATTGGTTTAAAAAGGTTAAAACCGTTTTTATAAATCCTCACTAAAATCCTGACATCTCAGCCCTACTAAACTAACACAAACATTATTTCTATTTAACTGATTATCATTTCGGAAAATTACCCCGGTTCCAATTCAGATCCATGGGTAAACTATTCCACCCCCACTATGCTAATTCTCTCTCGCAGTCCTCTGCATATTTCACCGCTCGTACACAAGTGGACACTCAAAGACATTTGATTGACTGCTGGTTTTGCCAAGTGCTCATTACATGTATAATCCACTGAAGACTGATCATGTTGATTAAGAGAATGTTTGGCCCTTCCAGAGAAATGATATGTTTATTGTCCCCTTCACAACTAATTCATAATGTGTAAATTACACATACATTTTTGTTAGGTCCTCTTTTTTGTGTCTTATCTTGTCCTGTTTTGTATTATGTTTTTTTTTTTTTGGGGGGGGGGGGGTGCATTTTCCCCTGAAATACGTGTACATGTATGGTGGGTTTATTTTTATTATTTGCTTCTGAATGTTTTCAATTTGTGACTTTGCATTAATAATAATAATAATGTGAGGGACAAATATAGAAAAACAACCACAAGCAAAAAAAAAAAAAAAATGCTAAAAATAAAAGGGGATGTTTAATTGGGGAGGTAACCATTATTAATAAAATAAAAAAATTGGTAATATGCTGGTAGTTTCAGTGAAGCAGGTTATTACAAAAGTCATTATTGTTAATATGGCTAAATAGACACGCCTGAAAGATGGACACAAACATGTACAATGTGTGCACAATGTACATAAATTATAATACAATGCGTAAATGGCCTGGTTACATTTTGTTTTCACTCACCCATGTATCATTTCAACACAGTGCATTTCAAATCTAAGAATAATCATAATTGTTTCCATGCAGTTTTCTATTTCACGTTTTGGAGGCTGAATTCCATTCTGCTTAAATATAAATGTTTTCACAGCATGTTTGTTTCTGATTTCATGATGTATACATTAAAATAAAATAATCAAATGGGATTAGCCTTTCAAAGAATTAAATGATGTTTCTGGCTCAGGTATACATGCAAACTTATTGACATATCAAAAGGCTCAAGAACAGAAGAAAAACAAAGATGTGAATAGTCTTCATTCAAACCGGGAACCGCTTCTGATAAATGCATAACTCCTGAGTTTTTTCTTTCAGTGATTTTGTTACCACAACAGACAAAAAGGTATCACTCAAGCAAACAAACAGACGCACTGTTGAAAAAAAATCTCCTGAACATATTTAGCACTTAAGCAAACAAGCATGACAACAAATCTTTTACAAAACAGTCCTTACTCATGAACGGCCAATCATCCAAACGATGCAATCTCCAGGAAAAAAGACCTCCTCATCATGTGGTAGGGTGATGGTAAGCGCCAATGCCTCCCATTATCCAAAGAAGCGTAGCTCAATCCACTCGACTGGAAAATATATAGAAAAGAGTTCAATAATTAATGACAGACATGCCAGACAGGAAGATGGAGGCAATGAAATATACTAATATCACATGAGTATCATCCGTTGTTCAACGGAGGCCACAAGCTCCATGCCACCCTCTCCAAGCTCTCCCCGGCCAATCGGAGTCGGCTTTAGAAAATGTGAAATCATTTTGAGCAGAAATTTGGCCTGAGCTGTTGATTGGTCAATTGGCTGCCATGTTTTTGTAATACAAAAATGGGTTACTGAACACCGGATAGAAGGGGCCCACTTATGGTCAGAATCTGAAGGTCAAGACACAGTTTTATTTTGCATAATGAATTGCCGAATCTGCATGTACTGTACATGTACCGGTACCATCTAGCTTGCAGTGCAAGTGGCTGTATAGACTAACCAGTATTTACAACAAGGCATTCGCACAAAATGAGTAAAGTTTATACATGTACATGTATGTATTTAAGTACGGTCGGTACACTGTGGAAAATAAGGTGTTGCAATTTGTCAAGGTGGGTGGGGTGGGGGGGGGGGGACTCATGTATGTACATGAGACATCCTCAGGACTAGAATACTGTTAATACAATGTAGCTGAGGTACACGTACATGTGTACATTGTTGTACATGTACACATCTTGGCATTGTATTCTCAGCCAAATGTTAACTTCATCCACATTTAAAACCGTGGCATTGGTCTTCTTTCCTTTTTTTCTTTTCTCTGCCACACTTCTTTGTTTAATTGCAATTGCACTTTATTTATTTAAGGGGGGGGGACATCATGGAGGAGGTTTAAACTCCTGACCTCCTTACTAGGCCAGTTAATTGTACAGGTATGGCACATGGAATCAGATGTACATGTACAATGTACGTGTACATACTTCTCCAAGTACCGTACCCACAACAATTGAACAAAGCTGGTGACCGAACTTTCATAGTCACTGCAGCAAAGGTGTTGAACAGTCTGCCCTTTTCCATTCAAAATTCCAGATCTTTCGAACAATTCAGGAAGCTGATCAACACCAATCTGTTCCAACAGTAATCAATTCATTTGTCATTTGGCAGCTGTATTTGTGTCTACAGGTACTTCTTGATTATTTGTAAGCACTGTGATTTAGTTAATACACGTAAGAGCATTCTTAAAGAGAATATACAACATTTGCAAACATCGAAAAACAAAACTAACACATTTTTGCGAAATACCTTACTAGGATGTTGGTAAATGACAGTCTAAAGCATCCTGTAAAATTATGGCACCTGGTGTGAAGTCATTTTCAAGAAAAGTGGTATTTTATATAAATTTCCAACGGTGGTCGGCCGACCACCGTTGGAAAAACCTAACTATTTTTCAACTACTGCTCCAAATTTACCATTTTTTCCCAGTCCAAATTGTGTTTGCTAGTGGTTACATGTTCATGAACGGGTGCAGGCCAGCTAGACTGGTTCCCTTACCTTACAATTTTCCGGCATCTATAAATTGATCCATTTCATCCTTAGTGGAGTCAGGGAACCAGACTACTTGAACATTTTTGTTTTTCTTGGTTTTTCCAGCATTTTCGAACACAAAACTTCAAACATGTCAGTGCAACAATATTTGATCTATTATACTAACCCCTCAAATAGTTCATTTCTGAATATTACGGCACAAGCCAATGATGTACATTCCCTTTAAATGCCGATGTACAACATGTACATGCAGCCGTACATAGTGTACATGTACACATATACGTGTACATGTACATGTACATACACTGTACTGTACAACATGTAGCTTGATGAGGTTTTGTCCAAATTACATGGTTAAGGCTGGCAATATACATGTGACCATGTAGACCAAATCCATTTCCCACAGATGTATTGTTGGTCATAGCCAAGTAATTTTCAAGAAGGGAGCCAAAATTCCACAATACACATTCTTAAATACATCGTATGTACGCATGTAATGCTCCCTGTACATCACAAGCATCACTCAGCAGCAGCATCAGAATCCTCCAAATCCACAGATGTAATTGATGCTCTGTTGTGCGGCGTGAGCAGAGCTTAATTAAGATTGTTTACCGGAGCATGGATTTTCATGACCCACTTGGTAGAGCGAAAGGCTGCCGGAGTTGTTTGCATCCTTGAGGAGGCCAGTGAGTGGGGCGGGAGGCTGCTTGGGGGAAAGGTAGGGGCGGGGACCAATTGGTACCTACTGGTATAGCTCCTCCTCTTGTCACAGACAGGAGACCCGGAGCCAACTTATATGAAGCCGCTAACCACAGAGATTTGCTAAGCACAGAAACTCTTCACTAAGCAATAAAAAAGTTACCAGCTAAAATGTCATGCATTGCACTGTCATGACAGTTTCTCAGTGGATTTTTGCAGAGCAGAATGGGGATTATTAGTGAGCTGAGAGATTAAAGAACACATGGTAACGTGATCAATGGGAAGAGGTGACACAAATTGCTCACACACAAAAAAAGGAAACAAAATACATGCATTCTTCAATCAAGTGTATCACAGTTCATCCTTGTACAATGAAACTGCGTGCAATTAAAATGAAAATCTTACAGACAATCAGAAACTAAGTTAATGGGAAATATTTGGCTGGAATAACAAAGTTATAACAAAATCATATTGCACTGACTTCCTTCAAACTGCACTGACTTCCTTTAACAGGCATGCAACTTAGAAGAACCAAAAACGAGCAAACTCCAATCTTTACAAGACTTTGTCAGGCATGCAACTTGAAAGAAGGAAAAAACGAGGAAACTCCAATCTTTACCAGACTTTGTACAGTGATTTTCAATTTTCAATGGTATAAGTGTGAAGTGAAAAACAAGGAAATCAGCTGATCCGAGGAAAAGTTGCATGCCTGCTTTAAAGTCACAGTTTTTTTAGCACTTGCATCCTTAGAGCAATTCATTTTTATAGACAAATTCGGCGAGAGCCATTTTCCTAGGTGGCAGCATCAGTCTCGCGGGAGTCGCACTATGTACGCACTCAGCTACCGTAGGGCTCCTTCGACCAATACGGTAACCAAAATGCATGCACGCATCGTCTTCAAGAACGCACGCAGCATGCGCATTCACATTATATTTAGCGTAGTACCACAAACACAGGCAGGGGCGGCGGAACCGGGGGGGCTGGGCGGGCATTTGCCCCCCCCCCCCGATTTTCCCAAGTGCCCCTTTTGAAGGCCTAAAATGTGCCCCCTCGAGCCTAAAAGTGCCCCCTCGAGAGAAAACAAAAATTCCTTTAAAGTATCTTACTATTTCTTAGGACTATCAAAGATAGTTTTGATATAAACGAGGAATATGAAAACCAAGCCCCAAAACCCATACAATATGCCCTGAAAATGGGCACATAATGCATAGTTAGCATATAATAATCGGTTTTGAAGAGCGCCCCCTATGTTTGAAGATGGAACCAGCGCCCCCCACCTCCCCCCCCCCCCCAATTTGATTTTACGGAGGCCAAGCGTCCGGTGAAAAACATGTGTCGACCTTTCAGCACGGATGTTCCAAAAAAAAATGCTGAGCAAGTGCCCCTTTTTGGTGATGCCCCCCAGTTTCAAACCCGTTCCGTCGCCGCTGAACACAGGTAGCTTCTAATTCTGGTCGCCAGTTTCACCTACATCCACTTCAACCATGCCCTATTGCATATTTATCGCAAGGGTGGGATGCTTTGCAATCTACATGTTATGATTTTCTACGCATGGCTGGCAGACGGCTTACAGCGCATCAATCAGTTTCCCGTTTTCAAGGCCAATTGTTTTGTCCAGACAGCAGCGGTGAAAAAATATACATAATCAATGCGGAAAAACATTCCTTAGCTGTTAACGCTGGGGTAGGTTTGTTGAAAAACGAGGTACAGTACGGTACATGTGTATAAATTACTGGAGCGTTAACTCCTCATTCTTACGCGCGGAGATACTTTGAAGCCATCCTGCGCGCAAACATTTTGAATTCTGCTTGTTTGTAGAACATAATGGAATTAGATGGAGTGAATTTTGAAAGTGTACTCTAAATGCAACGCGCAAGTAGGCTTACAACATGTATGGATACAGAAACAACTTAAGTGCGTCATGATGGTTAAAGACGCCACTGCCAAAATCATCTGCAGCGAATACCCACACCCCTTTGTGTTGTTTGCGCAGAGCAAAATAAAAAGGTTAATTTACTGATTGGGCATTTTGGTTTTGGGCGTATGGGCTTCAGGATAAAAACGCATGCAAATAGCGATACAAAAGCTGTACAAAATTTCGAGTTTTCCCATAGGTTTGTGCACAAACATGGATGCGCCCAGCAGGCCTGCATCACTTTGTACATCAAGTCTGCGCTAAAGCTGTGTACACTGTATGTGCATTGATGAAACCAACATGTACCCGGTATGTATTTCATGCTCAAGGTCAATGTATGTGAAATGTTTACATTAGTGTAGTTTGAAGCCAGTGATATTTGAGAACCTGAGGATTACATTAATTGGTTGGAGAGAGCAGGTGGATTGGCGATAAAAATTGGTACAATTTTTATCCATAAACAGAACAACGAAACATTCTTTTGAAATGTAATTGGGTTGTTTGTTTGTTTGTTTTCTGTCAATTTGATGTTTGTTTGCTTTTATTTAAACAAAGGGCTCCGGTGAGTTTTTTTAAAAGAAATTTCCAGCAAACATATATACTCTAGAAAACTTTCACATAAAGTGTACCAACGTTTTATACCAAAAAAATTAATAAAAAAATAAATGTCATGGATCATTGAGTGAACACACTAACGGCAAGTCTATGTATGTATTTGTGTTTCCGTTAGAGTGCTGCATTAATGATGAAAGCAGATGACCAGTTTTGGTTTTTTGTTTCTTCTTAGAGGGAAGATGACACCTCATTTTGCAGATGGCTTTTACATAATAAGTGTGTGATATTTGCTCATGAAACGACCCAGTGAATGCCAAGTGTAGGCTGTGGTTTCAGAATGGAGGTCACATTGTGGTCAAACCTTTGCCAATAGCCTTGCA